CCCCCCCTGGGTCCTCCCTTGACTCGTTATGGACATTTTCTTTGGAATATCGCATGCTGGGTAATTCCGACTTTATGCTTGATACACCCATTGAAAGGAAACTAAAAAATTAAACAAAAAATCAAATTTTTTGAAGAATCGAGTGATTTTCTCCGCATAGAAAAACAACAAGATATTCGTCACTCCTAAAATGTTTAAAGGTTTTTAAAAGCCAACGGATCTTCGACCGTTTTTTGTACCGAGACTTTTGGCTGCAACTAAACAACTAAAGTTCTCTTCAAAAATGTGGATTATTAACTTCCACACGCACAAAATCAATCCTCAGAAGTTACCTAATTTTCTTTGAAAAACTCAACCCACTACTGACGCAACTAAAATGGCAAAAACCTTGGAAAAAATCTGCTTGGAAATGCTTTTGAACGTCTGTAGAACGCTTTGCCTCTTCTCTATGCTGTCGCCACTCTGCTGGCTCTTCGCCTCTTTAACATAAGCCGAAGGCTTATCTTCGGTGAAGAGCGGATTCTTCTCCAGCGTCATCCCGTTTCCGCAAATCATCACTCCTGGACCATCTTTCTTATTGTTCAACCAAGTGCCGGCCAGTTTGGCTCCACTTTCATGGCCAAAACTCATTATTCCTTCAATTGAAACAGTTGTGGCTAGTGGACTTTCGCTTTATTCGATTTACCTGCTCCCGATCTTAAACCATTCACCCAGTTTCCTTTGTACCAGTTGTAGTTGGGAAAGACGAAACCATCATGGGGTATCAAGTTCCATGTGTATTCGCCGTATCCATGCGGGTAACCTTCGCTCCATTCACCAGCATAATACTGAATTTATCCACGAAAAAAAGTGGTCTTAATTTACCGAAGTATTAATCTCATCGATTAAGAACGAGTGAAAAATGTTAAATTTCGTCAACTTTTCAACTTTTATGAAATGGTACATAGCAAAAGTGCATCAACCGTTCTTGGAAACCAATCGAAAAAGTCTTTGATGACCTCATTTCTTAAAATACTCACATCGTTATTATGCCACATTATGGAACCTTCGCCGTTGATTCTATCGTTCAACCAATTGCCCTTAAACTTATCTCCATTACTATAGTTCCTGTAACCAATGCCGTGCCTTTGGTCATCCACCCAATCGCCTTCGTACCAATCATCAGCCTTATACAACAACCAACCCTTGCCTGGATACCAAAGGCTAAACCATCTACCATTTTCCTACTAAAAACCCTTACCGTGTCGCTGGGACAACCTCCATTGGCCTTTGTACAAAATCGGCGACGATTTAACGTTCAAAGACCCATTACCATGGAAAAACCCCATGGAAAATTCACCTTCGTACACGCTCAGGTCAGGCAGGGTGAGTTTTCCCGCACCTTCAGGGTATCCGTCTCTAAACTCGCCCTGTTTCCATTAGACTCCTTGGTGCATCAACAAGTTTTCCTACCTGGTAAATGGAGCCATCGTGCCAGTAAAAGGTTCCTTTGCCCTCCATCAGGTCGCCATTCAACTGACCTTCGTAGACGTTTCCGTTGAAGAACACCATCCTCCAGTTGCAAGTGCAGTTGAAGTCGCAACTTGGATCGGCTCCGGTACTTTCATTAATCGATTGCCTGCTTGAAATGGGTGTTTTCTGCATGCTGGGTTCTTCTGTAAGCAAAAATAAAGTGAAAACAAACAGAAATTTTACGAAACATGATGAAGAGGAAAATTGAAGAAACATTTTTTAAATTGCGTAAAGATCTACAACTTAAGTTGACAAGAATATTTTGCACTACATTTTTATTTGAAAGTTATGTATGGTGAAAAGTTGAGATAATGTTGCATGAAATGGTTCTTTAGAAAAGAACATTGATGACTTTCAGAAAAGTTTTCCTAAACATTTTTCCACCTAGATAAAAATCGTATATTCAGTGGCTCTCTTCCTCTAAAAGCTAAGAATTGTTTAATGTGCTACAAAAATAGCAAACTCGATTTTTTAAAAGAACGCATGAGAATTAGTGATTTTTGGGTTTTTTGGCATAAACGGCTTATGGCTAAGCCGATAAAAATTACATTTTTTTACAAAAGTCTTGAGGATCGGTCAGTTCTGAAACTTTCAGGATGAGTTGAAAACTATTTCAGCTACCTAAACTGATTAAAACTTAGTTTATTTACAAAACGCCTCATAAGAGTTGATTTTTTAATCTTTGAGGATAATTGGAACAACATTTTTAGGGTTTGGAGCAAAAAACGCCTGATTGCTGTATATTTTCACTTAAATTCGGTCGGTGTCTGTTCAAAGCGTAAAAATGGCTTACGAAGAAACAGACCCAAACTTGTTTTCCAAATTCCAAAAAATATTGTTTGAAAAACGCCTGAAGATTTTAAGGATTGTTAAAGCGATATTTTCTCAATTAAAAGCATGAATTGACGGTTCAATTTTGAGTGGAGCGTAAAAATGGACTGGAAGCAGTTTTCAAAATGTTCTTTGTTTTCTTGGCCCATTGCTTTGACTTCCGAAAAAAAACGAAACAAAATCATACATAAGATACAGATTTAATGGATAAAAAGATAAAGAATACGGAAAGAAAACGAAAACAGAAAAGATACAGATCAAGAGAATCTAATGTTTCCCTATTATGGGGTAAGATTTTCAAATGTTTTGCTCTGCGAAATATTTTTTTCCTTAAGAACTAGTGGATGTTTTAATGATTTGTAGATTATAGTTTTTCTACAACATAAAACATTATAAATTGGTATTTGTAGTTTGCTTTGAATTTTAAATCTGATGATGGCGCTGTTCTCTCGCCGAAACGTAAAAATATGAAATAAACGATATGAACATTTTTATTTCACAATTTGTCAGGAAAATAAATCGAAATAAGATACAAATGAAAATGCAGTATTTTAATGCGGAATTCTTTTTTTGCCGGGTTTTTAATCATACTGTAAAGGGCGCCCTTCATAACATCACTCATTTCAACATTTTCTGCAAAAAATGTGTAGCAAAATCAAATATTTGGTAACATTTGTCAATTTGTTTTAATAAATCTAGACCAGATACATTAGTTTTCCCAGTCCCTCTAAATTACAAATTTCCGGCCATTTAGGAGTGCTCTCAATGGTTAAACTTCCCTACAAACTCTCTATTCGACGTTTTCCCCATTTCACTCACATTTCCGAAACTAGAAGCGTATTTAAAACGCTGCCGAGAATAATTCTTTTAGTCAATATTTCTTAAAATCCGTGAAATTTGGCAAACCGACAAGAATTTCTAATAGATTTTGGAAAACTGCCGTCTTTTGCCAATCAAACCTTATTTACTACATAAACCTGCAACTCACTTGAGTTGGCGCTTCCTCGCTTCCCATCCACAGCTACAGTTTCCGAAACTGAACTATAACTAGTTTCCCACGAATTAGCTGACAAAGGATGGATCACCGACAGCGAATCAGCGCTGGACTCTTCAGATGGGCTCAGTTTTATCGGCCTCCTCTCTACCACCAAAGGCTCAAAAAACGAGTCAAAAAACTTATCAGTGATGCTTTTTCGGGTTTCACTCTTCACATCGGCGTCAGTGGATTCTTCAGTGATTGTGGAGACGCGAAGACTCTTCGAGTCTCTGGCTGCTTTAGGCGATACGGATCCTTTGCCTTTCAACGAACGCCTTCCAGAGTCCAACGAGGGTTGTTTGAGCGAAGAGCGCAAGTTTTCCATGATTGACAAAGTTTGTCATCTGGAATAGGTGAGAAGGACTAAAGTTGGTAGTTGGTTCCTACCTGGAGTGATTCAGAAGTTTGATATTGGAAGATTTGTTTCGTCTGCCATAAATTGCCAAAAGCAAAGAAGAATGAAATAGTTATCAGAAGTAATGTATAATACTCAAAAGAAGGCCGAAATGAAGACGCCAAATATGCGACTGAAAACGTCTAAGAAAAATGGGCGCAGTCTGCAGGCAAACACCAACAGAAGACATGGCATGTGTACAATCTATTAATATTAAAAGATGATAAAACTTCGAGTTCATCGCGAGTTCATCCGAGTGACTACCAACTAACAGTAACCATATCGAAAGCGGTTTGTTAAAAAGCTTTCAAATCGGTATTTTCCAAAACCAGCACCGAAAGCCGCCCAACACGTTTGAACGAAAATGTGTCGGCTTTGAAAAAATGCGGACAGTTAACATAGAGGGGAATGCTTTGATTATTTATTTACAGGTAATCTTCTCCCACTATCGTCGAATCGAATTAAGTATTATAATTGTTGGTGGACACGAGTTCCACTTCTGGTAGAAATTAACCAACGAGCACCGATGCCCAACCGGAGGTTGCTTATTAAATTGTTCACCAATTTCAAAAAGCACGGACTCGTTTCCGTCGATTATTCAACATCGAAGAAAATCGGTTTAGCGTTTATTTGATCGTTATTAATCAATTATAGCGTCAACGGGCGGTGACAACAATATTTTTGCATTAATTGCGCCATAAAAAGCCCCCATTTTCTAAGGTGACAGTTTGTTGTTGTGGCAGATTTTAGTGCGGAAGGTAAACGCGCAAAATATTCATCAGCTATTTTCGGTAAGTAAAAAGCGAAACGAAGAAAATTGTTTATTAACCTTTTTTATTAAAAAAACTAGTTTTTATGTGTTTCATATATTTGTTTATGTGGGTGTCTTGTGAGATTTCGGCTCTTTTTTGAGAAGTTTAGAAGTTACTCCAATAATATTCGAAAACCAAAAAAATGTTTTCAAATAGGTTTTTGATGATTGATGATTGAAAAAAAACCCGCTCTTGGCATTACTTCACGTTAACTACTTGAAACTCGTTTATAGAATATTTGGCATTTTTTTAATTCGTTCAATACACTGTTTGAATGTTTTGTTTCGAAATTTACTTTGGCAGTTTTCTTTAACACATTTTCTCATTTATTTGTGTTTTACTTTTCAGTCTTTGCAAGTGTTAATTTTAGTTTTATTCCATTTCCAGTCGATTTTATTAGAGTAATGTTTCCAAATACCAAAAAAGCAGAATCTTTAGGTAATTTTTTAGTAATTTAGTAGGCAATTAAATAAAGGAAACTGAATCCGCTCGTATAAAGACTTTTGGAAGAAAGAAATCTCTAACGGTATTTATCGGCATTAAACAACAAATTTCAGAAAATAATCGGGAGTCGAAAAACTGTATTTTCATCTGCTGTCTTTTAGAACGAAAACGATCACAAGCTTCAAAAAGAGTTACTAAAGGACCAATAAAATGTTCCCCAAATTTCCCCCCCAAAGTCCCTCGCATATATTCAAAAACACCCTAAAAATAAAATTATTTCAAAAGTTTTGCTCAATGGTTTCAAAAGTATCAATTTGCGGAATATTCGCGCTTTAACCTTTTGCAAAAGGCGCATTGTACAACCAAATCAAAGCTTGTAGGTACATGACTAAACTAATCAGGTCTCTTGATCTGGAACAAAATAATTAAATATCCATTATAATCAAAGGTTGCAGGATCAATTAAATTTTATTTATTTTCTTTCCAGTTCAAAAATCATCATAATTTACACATTCACCGATTAGAATTTGCTTCTGCAAATAGCCAAAGTGCGCAAATTACAGGCAACATTCCCACAAACACTGTTAAATTGTTGAATAAACTAGTTTTGAAACCGATTTTTCGCCACATGTCCTAAATAAATACGAAAATCTCAGCTTTTGTTTGTTGTAAACGTAAAGGTGATTTAGGCAGGTCCTGTTTGAAGTGTATCTTGCTTAAGTGAAAGTTTTGTATTAAATAGACTCAGGCTTTTGCAAGTAATTTCGCGAAAAAAAACCGTAATTTGCTACTTTCGTATTTGACTATCAATCCGCCTCGTTGCTGTAACAACAATAGCAAAAACGATCGCAGATAAGCGTTTTTATTGCATATTTTTTTCAGTCAATAACTATCGTTAATACAGTAATAATCGAATCAGCGAACCAGAAGATTAGTTAGTTGTTAATGGATACTTATCGTATATCTTTCTGTTTATTCGTCAATTGCAAAGATGTTTTTTTCACCGAACATTGTCCTTAAGAATGATAAGTGTAATTACTGTAATCGTTTGCGCTATTCCTTAATTAGGCATAAATGCTAACATTTTTGCGGGAAAAAACGGATAACAAAAAGGTTTCAATATTGATGGGACAAGTTGCTGGAAAACCCGGCCAATGATAGCTTCACTTTGCATTAAAATTTCTAATATGTATGTATTTTTGGCTTTATTGCATAATGAAATAATTACCGCTGAGGTTCTGCGTCGCTATGCTATTAAACCACATCAATTTAGTTACTGTTACCAACTGCATAAAATTAATGTGGTTTATTCAACGTGCTCCAAATTGAAGGGTCTCATAAAAATATGAATGTGAATTAAATGTATTTATAATAATTATAGACATCGATTTTCTAATTATAGTTTTCTAGTGGAACTTCAAAGGTTTTCGAATACAGCTTAAGCAAGCTTTTGTATTTTGTTTTCGCAAAAATGCTCAGATCCGAGTGGAAAGATGATCCATTAAGCCCGAGAAGACTGAAGTAGCATCATTCACTCACTTATAAGAGGAAAGTTGGCCTTCGATTATTTGTGACAAATATTTAGTTCCCTTCAACACTATTATTTTAAATAATTGGGGATTTTATGCTACAATTCAACTGGGGATTTTTGAGGTGCTAATTTTATTGCTTGTTTGCTGAATAAACGGTTTGAATGTTTTGTTTGGTAAATTACTTTTGAATTTTCCCCCATTTCTACTTCAATTTTCAAGTGTTTTTAGCTTTAGTGCAATTTCAATCGAATTTTCTTCGTAATTTTTATTTTTCCAAATATCAAAAGAACCGGTAGGATGTTTCCTTTGGAATTTGAACAACTGCATTACATCGATGTGGTTTACTTGAACGTGCACCAAATATTGAAGATTTTAATAAAAATATTAATGTGAATCAAATAGATTTACGTTAGTTATACACATCGAATTTCAAAGGTCAGCATGAATTTTTGAATGCAGTTTTAGCAGAAAACCTGTCTAAGGTTTTGCATGTTTTTGTATGCTGTTTTTGCAGAAAAATGCTCAGATCCGAGTGGAAAACTCGGGTGGTAGTTAAGTTACATTTTTCCATGCGTATAAAAAAATGAAAGCTTGTGTGCTATGCTTGAAAAAAATCAATTCATCTCTATAATAGTTGAAACTATGGACATTTCTTCCAGTGACGTAAAAGTTAGGAATAAACTAGGCCTCCTAAATTTCATCCAAAAATGTGCCTTAAAGCTCATAAAACGGCAATAAGCAAACTGTGCACTAAACCTAAAAATATTTCTGTTTACTCTGTATACATTATTTCAGCGTTCAGACAGGTGTTTAAGTCTTAAAAACGCTGATTATTTATATGCAATTGTCCTCATTTACTGCCATAAACATGAAACGTCCCCTAAATGCAATAAGCGATTATTTAGATTAAAGATACATTATTAATAGCAGAAAAAAATTTAATGACATTGAGGTAAAGTTTATTAAAATATCGTTAAGGCGATTCTCGCGAAAAGTGACAAAAACTGATGAATCCTGATACAGGATTCACCTATGTTTTTGGCTGTTCGATTTTCTATTGCAATGTGAATTTTATACCGGATGTTTAAATAATGCGGAAAATTTTGGGATCAACGAGCGTGAAAACCCGTTCTTAAAAAACATCCTTTTCAAATTTCAACATCTTGTAGATCAGTAGCGAAATATTTGCCGGCTTAGAATTTTATGAATTTTTTTCACAAATGGTAAATTTTTCAAATACATTTTCATGCAAGAATTTGTCGAGTTTTTGATACCAACAAGGTTCTAGCAATTAAATTGAAGGTTTTCCCTGAAATTAGTAATTTGTACGTATTACGACATACAAACTGAATTTGATCACTTTAAAGACCATGACAAAAATGTAAAATAATGAATAATTTATAAACTAGCTGTACAGGATGGTAGTAAAACTTGAAACATGCGAAAATGAGGAAAATGATTATTAATAATTGAAATAAGACAATATAAACATTGTACATTAAACTGCATTAAAACCACTTCAATTCGAGGTGCTCTTGGGCGTCGCTTTAAAGGTGCACCTTGAATCGTAATGAAGACGATAATGGACCTAAAATTTACGATTCAATTGAAGTCGCGTTCCGGTTGGATAGAGATTTTCGCAGAAGGTTCTTATACTTATTCCCCACTGTTCGTGTCACATTTTGAAAATCTAAAGATGTTTTTAATCAAATTAATTACTAATAGTTGGCTTGGTAAACATTAAAAACAATTCGGCTAAAATTTTTAATGGACTAGACTTCAGTCCTCAAGGTTGGTTAATTCGAAAAGTCATCAAGTCGCGTGGTAAACGTGATCAGAGGTGAACGGTTACAAGTGGGTACTCTTGAGAATCTGCAATTCCCGCATCCAAAACACGTTTAAGTGATGGGATTTGCTTTCATGCAAAAGTACCCACGTGTGGAAATAAATTTAATGCTGTTTTATCGGAAAATTTCTTTGTAATTACGCTATAAAGAAGATGGTAAATATTTCTATGGCACAGTTCTTTAAGCACTTGATTAACGCTTAATAAATCACTATAAATGCAGAGCACCTCAATTCGTCAAGTAGAGTCTTGGTTGCGCAACAATGCCCCGATTAAGTACTTCATTCGGTACCAGTAGGTGTTAGATGGTTTATCGCAAAGTTTAACAATGCTGGCTGGTAATTGGTTAATTCGGTGCGACTTTAGGTGCGGATAAAACTGATTTTTGAATGGAATACAAGTGAACGGAATGAAAACGACAGGTAAACGATTACTTAAATATTTGTGCAGCCTTACAGAGCTATTGACTTTTATTGAAAGAACTTTTCAACGTGATGCTGTATATACTGAATGTTAGTTCTCATAGAGTTTTGTTAATTTTTAACTGGAAAATTAGTCTCGTTGATTCTACACTTTTAGTTGTTTCCAAGTGCAAATGTGGGAGTATGTTCGTTTTTTACTCACAGCCAGAAGAATGATGAGTGTATCGTGAGACAGCATTCATTTCTCTTAAATAACAAAATGTTAAATCGGATTTAAATCTGTTCAATAAAAGTGCGAACAAAATAATTGCTTCTCTTTTTTTACAGTTCAAAACTCATCACAGGTGATTTTAACTATAATCGAGCATGATCTCGACGTGCGCTACTTGCACGTTTATGCATTTCGGGAGTGTTATTTTCAGGGTAAACCCATCTTTTGAGCGCTAATAGGCTCGAATCCGCTCTTGGAGAGTCTGAGATTAACACATTTTAAAATTTGCTTTTTTCAAAAAAGTTTCATTGTTAGTTTTAAAACTATTTTATTTAACGGAACTCTTTGAACACAGTTTTAAAAACCAGTTAATTTCTCGATCACTTTGCAACACGTTTTCTCTGAACATTTTTTATTGACTCGTAAAAATGTAATAAATATCCAAATCCATACAAGCGGATTTGTTTGGAGAACTTATATAGTTATTTCCTAGAAAAGTGTACATTTAGATGTGAAACTGATGCGATCTAATGGGAATGTTGCTAAAAATATACATTAAGTTTCACTGAAATTTAGAAAACTAAGTAGTGGTTTTTGAAGCCACTTCAAAAATAATTTCATTAAACCAAAAAATTATCGCTCAAGATCCTACGAAGTACAAAACTGCAATTATTATGTTTGTATAATTTTATTTCCATTTAAGATTGAAAATAATAACTGAGTTATTGAAACAATAAATTACCAAGAAAAATAAACTGGATCTTAAACTACAATTACATTTCCTGCCTGTTGCTAACTAGTGATTACCTCAGTTGACGACAAAATTACGGATTCCTAATAAAAGCACCTGTTTCATTGCAAAATTACTGTTGAATTCACTTAGTCTATCGTATAAAAGATCAGAGAACATTTCAAGCCATTGTTCTCTAATTATGAATTTGATTACAACGCAGGTAAGGCATATTTCAAGTGAAAACTTAAGAATTTTCCAATAAACTTATATCTATAGTTTTTCAAATCAATGTTATTTATTGTTCTATTACGAAACACCTTTAAACAATGCCACTATTCAAAGAAACACTGTGAATTACGGTCACTTAATGATTAACTATAGCAATTGAAACATCAAAAACTCCGATGCGGTCAAATCGGGAGAATTAGCTGGCTAAAAGGAAATTTTGTTGCCAACGAGGCCTGGACCAGAATAATAAAGCTTCGTGGCAAGCGAAGATAATTGGTCTTCACATTTAATATAAAAAAATGAAATTTACATAATGAAGCACGCACAGCAAATTACTTTATTTTTACATAAAAAAGAACACAAAGTGAATCGATGTTGATATAAACAGGTACAAATTTCAAAGTGTGCTAATCTCAGGCACCCCGATTTCGAGCCTATTAGCTCTCACATGGTGCCTTAGCACATCAGAAAATGTATATTCTTAACGGTTTTGACACAGCAAGTTCAACTGACAAAGTTTGATTTTTCCTCAGAACCGAAGCTGAGCAGTTAAAATTATCACAGTTATGAGCGAATGGAAAAAATTTGGCAAGAAAAGACGCACGTTATTTTTTAAATAAAAATTAGTAAAACGATTTAAGAACTCGATTTACTGCGTTTTTCTTCTAAACATGAGCAGCGTTTTGTCTATGAGCTTCCAAATGTGTTCTACCAGTTTAAATTTGCTTCACTGTTCAAACACTGAACTTTCATCGCATTAAATACTTGAAGCACTCGTTCAAAATACATCCATTTAAAGCGAATAAATCCTGAAAAGTCCTATCAAAAACGTACGAATTCCATATAAGAAACTGTTGGCAATCGCACGTGAATCAATATGCATATGGAGCTCCATAAACGGCTCAATAATGGGACTTTTTTATTTCCAGATTGGCATCCGATTTCCTCAAAGTAATCGTCGCATTAACTATGTTTAATCAAGGATGACCTAAGAGCTCCATTGCATTGTTAGTGGTTGGTCAGGGGCGTGCGTGCTCCCTCAATCAGCATGGATAACGGAATCAAGCAGGATCGAAAAAGCAATCCAAGGGAAAGAGCGAATTTGTTCTCGTTTCTCACGTTTGCGTAAGCCGAAAAAATACATATTGCTTCATCAATTGAATTCAGCTAATTATAAGTTAAATTACACTGCCATAATGGAAAAGTTTTATTGAATAGTTCTCCAAGGAAAAATTACTTGGTTTTATTGCAAAATGAAGTTGGTTCTATTCTAGCGATGAATCAAGCATTTTACAAATCTTTTGTAAATTATTGAACATATTTTCATTGAAGACCAGTTTCTGTAACCGGTGCCAGTAGGAATAAGTTTGCAGACAAGTTTGTCAATCTTTAATATCGCCTTTGATAAAGTTTCAATACAATAGTTTCAAACGTTCAAGTTTCAGAATTTGGTTTTTAAAAAACACCAAATTCTGTAGACAAAAATAGAATTTTCAACAATTTTATACATTACAGAGAGGCAATAGAGTGTGGCGTTCGCACCCAATGCATGAAACTGTTGAGTTTTTCGGGATTTTAAGCAGTCGTAGAAAATAAATTGTTTCGGGCGTTTCCCAAGCACGAGTAGTAGTCGTTCTATTTCGTCGTTTATTTTGTTTTAAGACAGCTTTAGACTTATGCACTCTTAAATACAAAAAAAATTATCTACATTCCAAATTTCCGTCTTCTACCTGCCCTAGTTTGAAATAAGTATTTAAAAATTTTCTAAAATTTCAAAAGTATGGCTCATATACGCATTAAACTCTTTAATTTTCACTTTAATGCAGTTTAATAAGTCATTTTGCATCTTTCTATAGCTAAAACTGCACCATTAAATAATTGAACATTCTTTGCTTCCTTGTTGGTTAATTAGGCAATTATGAATATCATGGCCCTTTCCCATTGTTACGACCGGTTTCAACTGAATAACATTTGTTTCCCAGTTGAACACGCTAATCATCTATTGTTGTATAATTATTGCGTTTCTTCTATTGTGCTCCATTACACATTAATCATTGGCTATTCGCATTGATTTTTCCTTGTCTGTGATTGGATCTAGTTACACGTTTGGCCTGTTCAAGCGGGGCATCAAAGGCAACCTGCAGGAAACGGATATTTATGCCATTCCTGATGATTGCGATTCGAAACAATGCGGCGATAAAACCGAGCTGGAATGGAAGCAGAATAAAACGATCCTGAAGTTGTTATGGCAAAGGTTCGGGTTAAGGTACTCGATCTTGACTTTTGTCCACCTGATATGGACCTTGTTCAACAGGTAGGGGAGCTTTGGGGTAAAGCTTCGGTTTGCTGATTAAGGTTTTTTCAGCATCGTGCATCCATATATAACCAGCAAGTTTATTTCCTACTTCCAAGCCCACTCGAAAATCGCCAGAAATGATGCGTACTTTTACGCGGGCATGTTGATCGCTCTGGCGATCTTTCACTGTTTCTGGGCCCACAACTTCTTCATGCTCCAGTGCAAGCTGGAGGTGCAAATCAAGGCGTCATTGACATCGCTGATCTACAGGTTCATAGTCTAAGAGCTTGGCAGGAAGTGGAATAATCTCTGGGCAATTGCAGGAAGGTCTTGAAGCTGAGACCGGCCGAACTAGCCGAAACCAACATGGGAAACATCGTCACCATTCTGACTAAAGACATCAAACTGCTGGTCCACAACATTTGGACTTTGAGCGAGATGATTATTGGCATCGTGCAAACCATTACGGTTTTCTACCTGTTGTACGCTAGGATGGGACCACCTTCTACCATAGCCATGGGCATGCTTTGCTTCGGGCTGTTGATTCAAGGTAGGTTCATCTGCTAGTTTTTTTGATTCCCCTGATAGGCATTGCCACAGACATCAATACGTTTTAAAACTCATTTTGATTCTTACTACAACCCTAATTTCTATGTTGATGGTTTCAGTCATCCTGAGCAAAACCATAACAAATATCCGGCTTAAAGTGGGCAAAATGGCCGATAAAAGGTTGCAGCTGAGCCAAGAAGCCCTTTCCGCCCTACGCATCATCAAAATGTACACGTGGGAGATGTTCTTCTTCGACCGCATCTGCTTGGCGCGAAAGTAAGTGCTTTGCCTGCCGCCAAAACCCCAAACAACCCCAACTCCACTTGCAGGCAAGAGATGAAGAAAACCATGAAGGCCTTCTACTTGAAGATCTTCCTGATCCTCATCGGAATAATGGGCTCCAAGGTGACCTTTCCCGTTCTGCTCATTTCCTATGTGGCACTGGGGTATGCCACCAACACTGAACTCGTCTTCTATGTTATGGGGCTGTTTAAGGAGCTGCGACACTCAGTTGGGATTGCAATTCCTATAGGACTCACTCATTGTGCAGAGTTCTACGCGTCACTCACTAGAGTGAGCAGGATGTTGCACATTGAGGAACACCATCCGATTTCAAACAACTTCATGCCTGAAGACAAGAGGAAGATTGAATTGAAAGAAGTGAGCGTCACGGTAGGCAAGGAGAACATTCTGAAGGCCATTTCCTTCAACATTGCCCAACCAGGGCTCAACATTGTGACGGGATTAGTCGGCTCTGGTAAGAGCTCATTGCTGAAAACCATTCTGCGTGATTATCCAACCACCAAAGGTCATGTGACGGTCTGCGGCACCGTTTCATATGCCTCCCAAGATCCTTGGCTCTTTCCCTCCTCCATCAAACAGAACATCCTCTTTGGGCAACGCCTGGACAAGACCAGGTATGACGAGGTGATCAAGGTGTGCTCCCTACAGTACGACTTCAGCCTGCTCCCTTTTGGGGATGAAACGATTGTAACCGATGGCGGGATGAACCTAAGCAAAGGACAGCAAGCGAGAGTAAACCTGGCCAGGGCCATCTACAAGGACAGCGACATTTACCTACTTGACGACTCTCTCGCAGCCCTGGACGTTAAAGTGCAAGAAGACATTTTCAACAACTGCATTAGGGACTATCTCAAGGGGAAAATAGTGCTGTTTGTGTCGCAAAATCCTGTCCATTTCAAAATGGCCCTAAACGTGATCTTTTTGTACCGCGGCTCGATCAAGTCAATCTCCAAGCCTGCAGAGCTTTTCATAGAAGACCTGGATGAGTTGAAAAGTGCCAAGGTGGACCTGGAGCATGAGACCAAGGAAAAAAAGCTGATCGAAATGATGGAGGTTGAGTTGGACCAGAGCAAGCTCAAGAAGAAGGTTTACCAGGAGGAGAAAAAACTCGGTGGGGTTGATTTTTCGATTTACCTACAGTACTTGAAGTTTGGAGGAGGGATTGTGATTTTTGGGTTGATAATGAGCATCTACCTAGGGGCTCAGTTCACGGAGAGCTACTCATCCAAACTGGTATCCAACTGGTAGGTTCACATGGGAATTGTCCAGCTCATGGGTAAAACGAGAGGTTTTTCCTTTAGGGTCGACTATCAGCAGCAGGCCTACGACTTGAGCTTAGGCAACAATGTCACCTCCAAGACAAACGAAACCGTTACTTTCGATGGCGCCGTTCAACGAAGAGACAGAACCTTCAACCTTTACTCCATTTTAATCTTCACCTCGGCTATTTTATCGCTGGTGAAAACCTACTCAATTTTGAGGTTCTGCAGGAGGGCATCGATCAAAATCCACGAAGTCATGTGCCGCAGCGTCATCAACTCGCTGATGCGCTTCCTGGACACTCACTTTATCGGCAACATTCTCAACAGATTTTCCTTTGACTTGGATGTGATTGACGAGCAGTATCCACTGATTTTCATGGAGTTTTTCAGGGTGAGTCCCTGAGGATTAAGCGCAGTAAATCAAACCAATTAATTGATGGTTCTAGAGCTTCATCAGCATAGGAGGAATGTTGATTTTGATCGCCACAGTCAGCTGGATTTTCCTGCTGTTCGCCCTGGGATTCTTCACTGCCCTGTTCGCTCTGAGGATGGCCTATATCCCCACTGGGCGGACTTTGAAGCGACTAGAAGCCATGAGTACAGGATCCAAAGTTAGCGAATCAAAGGGAGTAAAATTGTGGCTTTTTGCAGCTCGCAGCCCTTTGGTTGGCCACCTCAACGCCTCAGTGGAAGGGTTGACCACCATTAGGGCTTACAAGGCGGAAGAGGTGTTGAAGGACGAATTCGATAAGCACCAGGACCTGGCCAATTCCACCTACTACATGGTGATGACCACTACCAGGGCCTTTGGATATGTTATGGACTTTGCAGGCGCTATGTTTGTGGTGTTTATCATTCTTGTTCTACTGTTTGCTGAAACTCGTAAGTCGGGAATTACAATGAAACTTTATTCTGAAGCTAAAATTGAATATTTCTCACCATATTTTCAGGCATATCAGTTGGTGATGTTGGTCTAGCGCTTACTCAGGTGATGATGTTGACTGGATATTTGCAATGGGCAGTGCGCCAATGGGCTGACTTGGAAAGTTGCATGACATCAGTAGAACGAACGCTCGAATACACCGATATCCAGCAGGAAGACACGACTGGAGGGGCCATCAACAATTGGCCAAAGGACGGTTTGCTTAAGTATGACAACGTCAGTCTCTCCTACAATGCTGAAACGCGAGTGCTGAAAGGCATCAGTTTCACTGTGAATGCGACGGAGAAAATTGGAATAGTTGGCCGAACTGGGGCAGGAAAGTCCTCCATCATGTCTACACTGTTCAGGTTGTACGACTACGAGGGAAAGATCTTTATCGACGGCATCGACATCAGTTCAGTGTCCATTAATTTCCTTAGAAAGAGCATTTCGATAATCCCGCAGGACCCGGTGATATTTGAGGGCACAGTTCGCGAGAACCTGGATCCGCATAAAATCTATGCTGACCAGGAAATTTGGACCGTTTTGGAGAAGGTGAAGATGAAAGACCTGATCCCAACACTGGACGACGATATCATGAGCCTGAGCTTGAGTTCTGGCCAGAAGCAGCTTCTGTCGTTATCCAGAGCGGTGCTCAGGAAAAACAAGATTGTTGTGCTAGATGAAGCTACCGCCAACATGGATGAGGAATCGGATCAGCTGGTTCACGAGCTGATCAAAGAGAACTTCAGGAATTGTACTGTGATAATGATAGCGCATAGACTAAGCACTATTCTCGATTGTGATAAAGTGATGGTGCTGGACAACGGCACTATTGCCGAGTTTGATAACCCGAATGTGTTGCTGGCGAATAAGAACAGTTTATTTTACGCGATGAAGCACCAGGCAAAGGCCACGGCATCATGATATTGTTTATCAATAAAGTTTTTATGGTTGACTAGTGTTTATGTGGAAGTTTCAATTTGAGTAAATGTTAAAATGTAGGTGCACGGTTTAAGCAAACCAAACTTTAAGGAAGTACAGAGTGAATCTTGGTCTATTTCCTGTCACAAAAGTCGCTCTTTAATCTCAGCTTGCTTGATGGTTAAACATTTTTGAAAATCGACGGGTATATTTAAGTGCAAAAGTCGTTAGAAGCCTCATTTTGAAAAATTGTCAAAATTTTGCTGCAAGGTCCAAACAAACCAAACTTTACACAAGCATAGAGTGAATCTTGCTCTATTTCTTAACATAAAAATCGCAAATCTTATATAGTTTGGCTGTCAACAATTTATAAAAACTACAGCTCAATTTAACGGAAAAAGTCATTACCAGCCTCACATCGAATAATTCTCTAACTGAAGTCCAAACTTGCACTCAAACTAAGCTTTGAGAATGCATAGAGTGAAACTCTCTCTATTTCGTGGCACAAAACCGCTCTTCAATTTTTACTGGTGTGGTCGTAAAACGGTTTGAAAATCGCCGGGAAATTTGTCGTAATTGTAAAAATTCAGCCTCCAGCTTCAAGTTAACGAAATTTTGAGGAAGGAAAATCAACTGAGGAAATATCAATATCAACTGAACGCAAAATCGTTGCAAAGCACAATTTCAGCAATTGCCAAAATTCAACCTCAACCTCCAAGTATGCCAAATTTTGTGGTAGAAAAGAGTGAATCGTGCTCTATTTGTTGCCGTTAAAAATTTTTTTCGCTTTACTGTGTCAATTAATTCGCTCTAAAAAGTTTTTTTACATGACATTAAAAAGTTTTATCATAAATTCCTTATCTTTAAAACGCCACAAGCAAATTTGTTGAACGTGTGAATTATATTGGAAGTGACCAGATCTCGGACATAGTTTAAATCGCCCTTTTTGAAAGATCTCAAGAACCATCTTTTTCAATTAAGTGTAGTAACATGCTGCTAACCTCTAAAATGACAGAAGCAAAATTTGACAAAAGCTTGAACATTTTCATGTATCTCCCAAAGATGCATGTTCAAATATTTCCACGTTTGTAACAATTTTCGCAATTTCAATTATAAAGTGTGTGTTAATTTTGTGATTTAAACTGTCTAATAAAGGATCACATTTCACGACGTAGAAATGTACATTGTTTGAACGATCAAACAACAGATACGTATTAAACAACCAAAAATATCGAACTAATCCGAGCGCATACAATTTTGAATATTTGCTGGAATGAGTCTTTTTAGTTAGGAGTGACACTCCGGATTAAATCACGTAACAAAAAGGAATTAAACATGCGACTGCATGGTGTTTGGATAAGAATCCTCAACGTCAAATGGGATGAACAGAAATAATTACCTAACAGTGTTTTCTCAGAAAAACAATTTTTGAAAAATTATTCTCCTCAGACATTCAGCAACTTTCTTGATCTAAGAATCGCCTTTGAAACGCCAAACAAGTAGTTTCTATATCAAAAGCAATTCATATTTAAAAAAACCCACGTAACTTAAATAGTCGTCGTTTCAGAGGCAATCTGGAAAATTAATTGAAATTGGCCATAGCTTTATTAAATCAGGAAACGTTTTATCAATTGACCTAAAGATATGCGTAAAAGACCTAATTTACTTGTATGAATTAAATTAGCTTAAACGCATAATAGACTTGGCTGGATGTGAAATACCGTAAACATTCTTCTAAGGTTAATTGCATCAGTTCATTCAGTCGATGGCCAATTGAAAAAGAATTCTAAACCAGTTGAAAAAAGATAAAAGGTTTACAATGAAAATCAACACAAACGAAACGGCTTTAATCGCATTTCAGTCTCTATTGATTGAAGATATGGCGTGTTTGCTGTAAAGTGTAAAACAAATTGTGTGGCGAATGAGTTGAAGGATTTTCAAAAGTTATGGAAACTTTTACTAAACTCAGTTAGTAGAATTTTTTAACCGCTACGGAATTACTTGATACAGGCCTGAAGATAACATTTGTATTTTCTTTGTTATTTTAAGCACTGGTTCATCCGTTTTCAAATTGAAGTTTGGTCAAAAATAACTTCGGCAAATTTTACAAGAGACAGAATAAAGTTAACTTTATTTTAGTAACCCCAAAGTTAAATTTATCTTCTGCAGCATAAAAAGAATAATAAAAAAATATGAAAACATTCTTGTTTCATCCTCAACACTTAAAGGAATATCGAGTTAGCAGTTAACCCCAAAGTTGACTTTATCTTCTGCAGCATAAAAAGAATAATAAAAAAAATATGAAAAAATTATTGTCTCATCCCCAACACTTAAAGGAATATCAATGATTTGACCAGGATTTTTCCAAGGATGCAGATCACTGCAATTAATTTTTCCCATTAAATATAAGTGCATATAAAAAATTCCAACGGGTTGAGTCTGGAGTTCGTGATGACCAAGACATGGGGCCATCAGGATCGATTTTGATAATATTTATTATTAATTTTTTCAAGCTTTAAAATTTTATTAAGTACCTCCGGATATTGCAACAAACACCTAGTATGTTGCAAAAAGCTTTCTTAAAACCTACCTTTAAGAAACTGACCAGCTTATTAGTACAAATAAAAAATAATTATAATTTTGAAATAACTGAAACACTAAAATATTTGATTAAATCCAAGTAGTACAAATGTAATTCTAATTGCCTGCCAACAAGCCCGATAACAAGAAACGAAAAAAAGCCCTGTGTATTAGCGACTATTTATAAAAGCGTATCGGCCCCAGCCCTAAATAAACAATGTAATCTATTAAATTTAACTTTCTTGTATCAATTGTCTCTTGAATGTTTGCGGAAAGTTTACATATCTACAATTATTTTTAATACTAACATTCATAGAGTGTTCAGCCATTATAAGCTTGGCTTATGATTTATGGCCGTAATATTTGTCTTGAAATTTTAAAAGATTTCATAAAAAGACCGCGGCTCACGAGCTTTGCACAATTTTATTGCGGATCGGTTTTGAGCAGGATGGTTCATTTCGGGCATGCATTAGTCTAACCGAAGAAGGAAAACAAGTGCGCACCTTTTCAGTGTTCAGTTCTTTGATTTTCAAGTGTTTGCACAAGATGGATCATACAGGACAGGAAGTGCGCAAACAAAATCCGAAGGAGAAGGCGAATATTGTGTCGGGATTAACTTTTATGTAAGTTTTTCTCTGAAGTTGAAGTGTTTTAAGTAATTTAATTTGGACTAGCCGATTGCTTAGGTTCAATTATTTTGTGCAAACATTAACAATTTCTTACGAAAATGTTGATGCTTTTGAATTATTTTAGTTTCACGCTTAAAGCACTTGAGTCGAACAAATTCTGAATTGAAGAAAATCTCATTGCAGCGCTAATTATAAATACGCTTCTGATCCAGGGCAGACTTTCTATAGATTTGAAAACTTTTCTTAAAAAAGAAGGCAAATTTTCTACTTGCTCAAAACTTTCCACTGCTTTAAATAAGCAAGTTTTATTTGCCCCCCTTCTTGTCAACTTTTAAGCCAAATAATTATCTTCTGCTCATTCCCAATGCACTTCACTAAACAAAATAAAAGAAGGCAAATGAAGGTTGCAAAAATTAGCAGACGTTTCTCTAGCAAAATTTACGTACATTTTCAAAGTGGTATATTCCGATTTTGTTCTTAGATATACTCGAAAACTATTCAGGAGAGCCTTAAAAAATGACTTAGAAGAAGAAGACTTGTACGACGTACTAAAGACACTGAACTCAGACAAATGCGGCACCAAAATCGAATCTCGTTGGAAGCACGAGCATTTGCAAGAAAATCCGTCGCTTGCGCGCCTGATGTGGGCAAGATTCGGCCTAAAATACGCCTTCATTGGCCTAATTCTGTTAACTTATAAGCTGTTTAACATGTAGGTAGTGAAACAGGGGATGGCGCCAGAAATGCAGTAATTATTTCGCTTCTAGAGCAATGGAACCATACGCGCTCAGCAGCCTGATCAACTGCTTCAAGTCCGAAAACAGTTGCACTTTGAACGAGACCTACATTTATGGTGCAACAGTGATCGGCATTAATGTTTTCAATTTTTTCTTTTGGCACAACTACATTATCTACGTGCAAACGTTTGCGATCAAAATCCGCACATCGTTCTGCTCGTTGCTCTATCGCAAAGCTCTAAAACTGACTCCCTCAGCCATGAACGAGATCAGTCTGGGAAACATTGTGACTCTAATCACAAAGGATGTGCATACATTCGAATCGTCCATTTGGCTCTTCAACGACATGTGGATCGGTATCGTTTCTTCAGCTTTTATTGTCTATTTGCTGGTTCTCAAAATGGGATGGATTTCGTTGATTGGAATCACGTTTCTTATGGCAACTATTCCCTTCCAACGTAAGTATGTAGACTTGTGTAACTAAATGTGTGTAACTAAATCCACAGGAGGTTAAAATTGCCATAATTTCTCCAAATGTGGGAAGTAAAGTAAAAGGAAATGATTCTCCTCGAATGAATGAAAACAGATATTCGCTAAAAATGTAATACAAAATGTGCCGTTTTTTACCAATCAAGCAAAAAGCTTTGGCATACAATAAACGAGCTTTCCAAGTTTCGACGGTATAAAGACGCCTTTTTTAGGCTCAAATCAAATTGAAACTTTTACTATTTTCTCTGTTTCTACTCCCAAATTCCTCTGGAGGTGAAAGAGCCCAATTTATCACCCTGCATCTGTACGATAAAGATGCAAGAAATTGCATATAAGAAAATAAATCTTTCAGTTTACATTGGGAAATTGACAACAGTCCTGAGGCTGCGAGTCAGCAAAAAAACCGACCAGCGACTTCAAATAATGCAAGAGATTCTCTCATCCATCAAGATCATTAAGCTGTACACTTGGGAGAACTATTTCAACGATCAAGTGAATGACCGCCGGAGGTAGTTAATGACCACAGCCATCAAACCTCGACTAATCCATCTAATACGTTTCAGAAAGGAGGTTAAAAATATGCGCGTGGCATCCGTGCTTAGATCCCTGATGGTGGTGGTGGGATTTGGGGCGACAAAAATCGGGTTCTACGTTCTCATTGTCGCCTACCTCTGGATGGGGTACATTCCCGACGCCAAGCTCATTTTCTACGTATCCAACATGTTCAATAATCTAAAGTTCCTGCTAGGCGTTTCCATCCCCATTGGCATGTCGAAAGCTGCGGAACTGCTGGCGGCCGTTATCAGGATTAATCAGGTGCTGAAGGCTGAAGAGCTGCACCGCGACAACAGCCATGACGAGCCTACGGATTCTCCTAAAATGTCCCTACAAAACGCCACGGTGACCATCAACAAGCGGCTGGCTTTGCAGGAAGTCTCCGTTAGCATAACGCCTGGGTTGACTGTTGTGTCAGGCACAGTGGGTTCAGGAAAGAGTTCGTTGCTCAAGGCTCTGTTGCAAGACTATCCGTTGGAAAGCGGTTCGGTTAGCACCTATGGAAGAATATCGTACGCGTCCCAAGATCCTTGGCTCTTCCCATCGTCAATCAGACAGAACATCCTCTTTGGCGAAAGCTACGACGAAGCAAGGTATCAAGAGGTAGTAAGAGTGTGCGCCCTGATGTACGACTTGAACATCCTGGAAAACGGAGACCAGACCATCGTGGCAGACAATGGCATCAACCTGAGCAAAGGCCAGCAAGCCAGAGTAAATCTAGCTAGGGCCATATACAAGCAAAGCGAAATCTACTTACTAGATGACTCATTGACTGCCCTGGACGCTCACGTGCAAGACCACATCTTCAATGAATGCATTAAGAAGTACTTGAAGAACAAAGTGGTGGTGTTAGTGACTCAAACGGTGCATCACATTCAGGACGCCGATAATCTGATAATCATGCAAAACGCCAGAGTGAAATCCATGGGCAAGCCCACTGAGTTGTCGATGGAAGAACTTTCCGAACTGGTGGGTAATGACGACGAAATAGAAAAGGAAATAATTGAGGAACCAAAAACCAACGGAATAGTCAAAGAAGAAAAAAAACCGACCGACGAAGCCGAAAGCGAAAAACTATTGGAATCCGAACAGACCCAGGCGAAGAAGATATACAAGGAAATCACCAAGAAGGGCGACGTGAGTTTTTCGGTGTATGGCAAATATTTCAAGTTTGGCGGCGGTATTTGCGTGTTCCTTGCTATAGTGTCCTTGTATTTCATTGCCCAAGGCAGCGAGACTACTGCTGAGAAGTTCATTGCTATGTGGTAAATAACATATTAAATATCTAATTAAATAATGAGATTGAAAACTTGCTTATTTAGGATTGACGAACAGCAGAAAGAAGTTGACTTGAGGGTCCTCAACCAAACCAACACGACAATTTTCGAGGAAACGGTCACTAAAAAGGACTTGTATATCCGAATCTACTCCATCACAATTGGCCTGAGTATGGCGCTGGTTCTAACGCGATCCTATTTGATGTTCGACTTCTGCCGAAGAGCTTCGGTTAAGTTGCACAAGGTCATGTCCACGACCATCATTAATGCTGTAATGGAATTTTTTGACACCAACTTTATCGGCAACGTGTTGAATCGATTTTCTCAGGACCTGATCACTATTGATGAATTTTTGCCTCACACGATAATCGAAATGTTCAAGGTAAGTTCTGGGCAAATGTGGTAAGTGGCATGGTTTAATGGCATAGTCGGTTGCTTTTAGATATCAGCGCAGATTTTGGGAGTTGTAGTCAATATATCAATTGTCAATTGGCGGTTTTTAATTCCGGCCAGCGCCTTCTTTTTCATCACTTTCTTTGTGCGAAGGCTTTATCTACCGACTGGCAGGAGCTTGAAGCGACTTGAAGCAGCCAGTGAGTAATTAAAATCATTATTCACATGCTGCATATTTCATTTGCTCATTTCTTCACTTCTAAGTACCTTTTTCCTTACTCTTAGTTACTATTATACAAGGTGATTTACAATTGATGCAGCATTCCATTGTGAGAAACTGAAATTTGTACCACTAAGCAATCGGATATGTTCAATAAACCTAAAATATTTGTAGCTATGCGATATTGTTGCTTATATCGAAAAGTACTAGAAAATCGCTAGATTTTGAAAATGGGTTCAAAATAGGCAAAATTATGGTACAGGCGCAAAAAATTTTTGAGTCTTGAACAAATGGCCAAATCGATTTTTTACGACGTAAATAAAATATAATCGCAAAAAATTCAAAAAACTTTTTTGAGGTATGAGGTTTATCTTAATGCTTGTGGTGTTGAAATAGAAAAAATAGCTTTTTGTCCAACTGAGAACACGCGGAACTTCAGCAGACAGAATGTATTCAGTTCCAAAGTCGACATTTGTCCGTGTCACGCCTATGTTGTTGATCAGTTTAGAACGCCCTGTATATTGGTTTATGGTCGGAAAGATAATTTTCCTGATCCCCTGGTGAAAAGTACGTACTTTCGCAACTGTTTTCGATAGCGAAAGCATCACTTTTACCCATTTAAAATTTTCTTCATCCCGTGTGGAAAGTAATAACTTTCGCCATGCACGCTAATAGCTTGACTATTTGCCTCTCACTGTTTTGACATTTTCAAAGTCTTTTTTTTCAAAACTTTATACTTTTCCGTGCTAGTTTCCACCGAGGATCACAAAAAATAGAATACGATACGCGAGACGAAATTATCATGTTTCTATGACTAAAGTGTCATAACGATTGGAGATTATGCAATGCTTTACACATGCTGTTAGCTTGATAGTCAGCTTGATAGTCAGTTCCAGATAGTATTTTTGTGTGGTTTTAATACAGTGGTTAATGAAATGGAGGGATAAATATGGAATCAAAGTTTTAATTTTTGAGAATATGACCCTTACGTTCAATAAGCTACGGTTGTCAAATAGTGAATCCAAAAATTGAGACTTCGTTCTAACAATATTTTTCATTATTGCACTTACTATTAAGGAGTCCATTTTTATATCCAAATAGTCTTTAGGTTCTCGAAACCCGCAAAAACTAGTTCATGAAACTCACTCGTGACCGTCGACGCATGTCAGGTTGACTAGTTCACCTTGACAGCAAACGCCAAAAAATCGAAAAATCGAGTTTTCAAGCAAAAATCGCACTACCGGCTGGGAAAATTACATAAAACGGTGACTAAAAAGCTTCTTTTTCACAAAATCAGCAAATTTCGATGAGAAACTGAAAACATTTTTGAATTTTTTGAAATTTTGAAGGAGCAAATCGCTCACAAGTACGCGTACCTGCCATTGACACAAGACTAATTTGACATAAGGGCTGGAGATACGAGGGCTATGTGAAAACTTGTAACTCTATCAAGGGCCAATATGCACGGTTTAAGTTAACAATTTTGAAAAAAAAAACTTCATTTTCTGGTCCAATGTTTCGGCGATATTTTATCCATCATGAGCGCTCATAAATTAAGATTTTCTTTTAGTTACAAAAATATTAAACTCGTAAATATTTCCGAAATCTTAGAAGACATCGGAAGACAGAGCGGGGAACAAACATGTTTTTTTAACCCAAACCTAATCATTTCTCATCTCTACCTAATAGATTGATTAGAAAAACCTTGAAATTTGTTTAGCTAGAAGTCCACTGGTGGGTCATCTGAATGCTTCCCTTGAAGGGCTGACCACCATAAGGGCCTACAAGGCTGAAGATATTTTGAAACAGGAATTCGACCGCCATCAAGACCTCTACACTTCGGCACATTTCATGCTAACGTGCACGTCCAGGGCTTTTGGATTTCTTCTGGATTCAATGTGCTCAGTTTTAATTGCTATGGTGGTGTTCAGGTTCCTGTTCTTCGATACTGGTAAGTGAGGAAACCAATAGAACCATTTACATTATAATAAAAAAATATGAAATTTCAGATACAAGCGCTGGAAATGTTGGTTTGGTGCTCACTCAAGTGTTTATGCTGGCTGGAAGTGTGCAATGGGGAGTTCGATGTTGGGCAGACCTGGAGAACCAAATGACGTCAGTGGAGCGTACGTTGGAATACACTAAACTGAAGCAGGAGAAGAAACAGGGCAGTAAAGTTGACAACTGGCCGAACGAGGGCCATATCCGCTACAAGAACGTGTGTATGTCCTATGGCAAAGAAATGATCTTGAAGAACCTTAATTTCGAAGTGCTACCATCCCAGAAAGTTGGCATTTGCGGACGCACTGGAGCTGGAAAGTCCTCAATCATTTCAACTCTATTTCGGCTGTATGAAGTGGATGGGGACATCCTGATTGATGGCGTCAACATCAAGCATATTGCTATAGACTTTTTACGCCAATGCGTAGCCATTATCCCACAAGATCCAGTGCTGTTCACTGGAACAGTGAGAACCAACATCGATCCTTACCGCATCTACTCAGACGAAGAAATCTGGAAGCTTCTGGAGCGGGTTCATCTGAAGGGCAGCATCCATACTTTGGAGATGCCGATTAATGAAAACGCCCCAGCCTTGAGCTCTGGCCAAAGACAGCTGATTTGCCTGGCTAGAGCGATAATTCGCAGAAACAAAATCGTCGTTCTGGATGAAGCCACGGCCAACATGGACCCTCAAACCGACGTAATGCTTCACGATGCAATCAAGGAAAACTTTGCAGGGTGCACGATCTTTTCCATAGCGCATCGATTGCACACTATTATTGACTCGGATAAGATTATGGTTCTGGATCGGGGGGAAATTAAGGAGTTTGATACTCCTGCTAAGTTGCTGGCCAATAAGGATGGCATGTTTTACAAGATGATTGAACAGGCAGGACTCACGAATTATTTGAACGGGGGTTGAATGGAATCATTTAGTGCGTAAAATATTTCTAGTCAGTATCGTGCCAGATTAAGACAATCCATATCGTCCATCCACGGGAATAAATCTGTTGTTTTTATTAAACAGTTAAGGCGCTTCAAGTATAGAGTTTCCTCAAGGTTAATTGAGAATATAAAAGTTCTAATTGGAGGCTAAGTTTATTGTTTTGTGCGGTCAACAAATGGTGAAATTATCTGTTTTATTTTACAGACGGAAAATTCTTCAACAAAGACATTAAAACCTGAATTCTTGACCTAGTTCAATAACGGCTATCTTGCTAAAGAATACAAGGATGTTGAAAAATCGATTTATCCAGTAGTCTCGAGGTTATCTTGGTGTTTACGAATCGATTAATTACACAGAGCGGCAAATGATGGCAAGGCTAATAAATTCATGTTTTATATGGGTTTTTAGTTAACTTTAATTTACAAATCCAGTTTCAAGTAATAAAATGTTGGTGCTCCAAGTGGAATTTTATCATCTTTTATTGTTCACACGCACTTGAAAACAGTAGATATTTTACCCAGCTTAGCTTAGTTAGGAACCCACTAGATTCAATAGTCGATCAACGCACATCTGTCCACTCTGGAGGCATTTTGGTATAGATCAAACATCATTTTCTCCTCAAAACATGCTCGTTTTTTCACTAAAAAACCCCTTTGACTTCCAACCGGTAAGAGCCCATTGCTTACCTTTCTGTTTGGTGGGGATGTGACCACAGGTCACATTCGCTGGTATCGGCAATTTTTCCACCTTACTCGGAGGTTGAGGGTACAATTCACAAAGTGCTTTGAGTTTCGCTTGATGGCACTTAACAGTCCTCCACATCTGCTCAGCATCCAGAGTCACACAGTCTTCTGATGGGAATTTGGATCGAGGATGCCCTGGCGCCCAAGCTCTATATCTGAATGAACCCATCCAGCTAAAGAAGGAAAAATTTGCATCCTTCTTACTTTGAACATGTCAAAAGATTTCCGAAACTAGTCCGAAAGACTCCTTCAGTTTCGATGTCATCCAACCCAACAAAGGCTGCGTTATTCAATCCAGGGAGTTTCTCCTTGATGGTCTGCGATAGGAGAATGGTTCGTTTTTCCGAGGAAACATCGGCCAGTTCCCCATTTTTCTTCTGGCAGGCCAATATCGACTGGCTGTAGTTCTGGGAGATTTTGGTCAATGTAAAAAGCCCCAACGATTTGATGCATGTGGCGTTTCTGGTCTCTAAAATTCAACTCTCTCTCTCCAATCTTCGAAAAGATCCAGAATCAGGACAACTTGCTGTTCAAATCCCCATAGGCGCTGTAGTAGTCGTAGCCCAAATTCAGGTTTAGTGAGGAAATTTCACCAGTTTCTGGGCAAGCTAAAACCTGGCAATTTGGCTGGTGGACTTCGGTCAAATTGATCGCGTCCGCAGGACTAAAGTTGAAACCTAATCCAGACTTTTCCCTTGCGAATATGTAGCATTCTTCCAGGCTATCAACTCTCTTCCAAAAAGCCACTGGAGATGGAGATTTGTAGCATGATTTAATTTTGTAATAGGTTAAGTTTCGGGGATGGTTTTGACAATTCTCCAGGCCCTGGCTCATCGGGATTGTTACCAGGAAGATAAGGAATTTAGCCGGTTTCAACATGATGCATTCAACTGCTCTGGATTAACTAAAATATTGATTTTGTGATTGATCGATGACGCTTTCTAAACAAGTGACAATCTTTCAAACGCCTGTTGATCCATATGTGATTCGGTCGAATTAGTATTTTGTTTAATGGCGGATAGAGCGGAAAGTGTGTGCTTCTCTCCGACGATTTTGAAAAATGTTAAGATATTCCGACTTTTTGGCCAAAAATTGTTTATTTTTCTTAATACAAAGTCCCGGTGCTTCGTTTCGCATTGTTTTTTTTTAATGGCAGTGATTTTAGGGAAGTAAACGCGATTTTTCGATTCGATTCGGACGAAATGTGGTTAACATTTCAGAGTTTTTTGATTCTATTGGATCGACTTTACCGTGGCAAATTATTGGCTTACAGAAATGGACACTTTAACGGTAAGTGCAACTTTTGAAAACTTTCACTCTAGAAACGCCCATCAGTTTACCTGTTTAGTTGTGCTTTTATCGTCTGTTAGTTTTTCCAAGTACCAATTTGAAAACTAGAAAATTTGATTTTTTTTATTATATAGATCGCCCAGAAGAGCCAAAACATATTTTTAGTAGCCGAAAATAAATTAAGATGACAAAAGTTTACGTGACAGAAAAGTGTCATCGCGTATCTCTTGCTACCCCTAAATAATTTAATATACAGGGTTTTGCAGAAGGAGGGCGTCAGACTTAATGGCCTATAATATAATGTAGAGAAGGGTTTGGTTTTTAGTTAATTTTTTTTTTTAGAAGCATGTTAACGCTTAGTTTCCCATTGACAGAATGTTAAAAGTGTTAGCCAAAAGATGCTTTCTTTACATCAGGGGCGGATCCAGGTT